ATGACCCTTAAACCAGAATATATAGGCCTTTAGAGAAACAAATAGACCGAATATAATGTTGCAGGAGATAGTTGTTATGTGCACTAGATTGAGGGGAGTTTGATTCTCATTCTCATTCTTTCTCATTTTTTAGCCGATTATTGTAACTCATAGTAGAGCAAACACACCCTGAAATGCATGGGCAAGTACTCATAGTCATAGTATAGTATAGTGTGGATTATTAGTTAGGCGCAAGCCCATACTATATATATATATTATTGGGTTGGACATTTGGATCTGTGTAATCTGTCCAACAAAAAAGCACTACTATCTTTTCTCCATCTCACAATAAGTGGACATCTCATTGTCTAAGGAAGCAAACATTCTTAAGTTTGACTAGCTACATATAATATTTTTTTTAACCTCCAAATAAGTTTATGGGTAAATTTTACTGGCGGTCTTTGAAATTTTCCCTAGTTGTCATGCAAGCCCCGGTATTTTCAAATTACACATTGAACTCCCTAAAATTGTCCCGAGTTCTGATCCTGATCCGGATAGTTACAAATTGCACACATGACTCCCTAAACTTGCACATTAATGAACTCCCTAAATGTACTTGCTGCAAAGTTCTCATCCTGGAACATGAAATTTGAAAGTACCTGGACCTAGACAGTAAGGGTCCATAGCAAATTTAAGGACCGTCAGTGAAATTTACTCTAAGTTTTTCCACGATCAATCTAATAGTATTCTATTACATATCATAAATAGTTACTATATTTTTGAAATATTTAGGCAAACTCAAAAAAATTTGACTTCTTACGACGCGAGATGTGTATTTATTTTTTGTGACAACAGAGGTTGCGTGAAATAGCCCGTGTCTCCATGGGATATGAGTCAACGCTCGTGCGTCTCCATGGCCAAAAGTCTTGGCTGCGGATCGATCGATGTCCATGTGTCGATCACTCTCTCTATGGGTCTGTGCGGGAGTGTGTCCACCTCCGATCCATCGCTTGCATGTGTCCATCGATCCATCACTGTTATTGCGTGTCGTGTCATTTCTAAATTATTAGCCCGGCCGGCCCTTTTTGTTGTCTTACCTTGCGTCGTTGCAGGTTGCATTGCATGTAGTAGTTTTGTGACATTTGTGCAAGCTGGGTGAACCTACCGACCGGCCGGCGGCTTCAATTCGGACTGCAACCATAGAGTAATGGCATGCAATCAGGCCAGGCCACGATCGAGTTTGTTGTACCAGCCTATAGCACTAGCACAGGCCATATCAGATCCACAGAGGTGGAGTGGAGAGTCCTGTTGACTGTTGGAACAGCAACAGCACACATACTAGACTACTATGGAGTAGTCAGCAGGTGGATGCCAAGATGGGTCCCACCCAATCCCATCTCCCGGGGAAGCAGGGTGGGAACCCTTTCCTTTCCACCTCCCCTCCCCAGCAGGCAAGGCAAGCAGGCAGAGGCGGCGCCGCTACTCGCCGCTCGCAGTCAGTTGCGCCAGTTGCGTTGCGTTGCGCTTGCGCTTCGCCATCACCTTCGCCTTCGCCTTCGCCTCTCCCCAACCCACCCTGGTCCTGTCCTGTACTAATCGGTCTTCTCCGGTCGCCGCCTCCCCTCCCGCCCGCGGTGCCCTTCCTTCCCCAAACCGCAGCGGGCGCCGTACCTGGTGGCCCCGGAGCCCTTCTCGCCCTCCGTCTTCCTCGACCTGCCGCTGACACTAGGGCGCCCTGCCGACTCCGACGACCCGGACAACTCCGACGACCTTGTCCTCCCCTTCATCTCCCGGATGCTCATGGAGGAGGACATCGACGTCAAGTTCTTCTACCAGTTCCCTGACCACCCCGCGCTCCTCACCGCCCAGCAGCCCTACACGCAGATCCTCTCCGACTCCACCGCCACCGCCTCCTCTCCGTCCAACGACTCCTCCTACGCCGCCACCAAAACCAACACCACCACAACCAGCAGCAGCGGCTCGGGGACCGCCGCCAACTCCACCCTCTCGCCCGCCTCCTGGCCGCACTACGAGGACGCAGTCGACCTCTCCCACATCCTCGGCTCCCCGACATACCCTGCTGCCGACATGGGGGTCGGCCCCGACGACTTCGCCGAACTCTTATCGCCGGCACGAGGACAGGATTCCACTTCCACCAGAGTCCGCTGTTCACGGATGGCAGCGGTGGCAGCGGAGGAGGAGCCCAGCGGCAGCAATCTTCCCTCGCCGCCCAGAGCGCCGTCGCCGCTGGCGGAGCCCAACAACGTCAGCGCAGCATCCAGAGCTCCACGTTCTCGGATGGCGCGGAAGAGGACGACAACACCAAGGCAGAGGCCACCACAACCTTTCCTGCTGGTGACGCCGACCACGCCGCCGCCCAGAATGGGGGAAACATGGACATGCTCAACATGGCGTTCCGTAAAGGCATGGAGGAGGCCAAGAAGTTCTTGCCTACTAACAACAGCCTTCTCATCGACCTTAACGATACCTCCGGCAAATCCTTGCCTAAAGACACAGACAGCAAGCCCTCCACTGCCTTTGTTGCTACCCAAGTGAAAAAGGAGGAGGAGGAGCAGGTGGTGAATGCAATATCTATGTTTGCGGGAAGCAGAAGCGTCAATGGCAGGGGCCGCAAGAACCGCCACGCCGAGGATGATTTGGAGGCGGAGACGGGCAGGCACAGCAAGCTGATGATGCTGGAACAGGAGGAAACCGGCGCCAATGAGTTGTACGACGAGATTATGACCCGCGACTATGCGGCGTTCATGAAGTGCATGGAGGACATGCACATCGCCATGGACAGCAAGTCTGAGAAGAGCACAAGGAAGGTCAGCAGGAAGGGGGTGCGGGGGAAGCAGAATCTTGTGAACGAGGTCGTCGACCTGCACACCATGCTCATCCATTGCGCATAGTCGGTGGCCACCGGTGATCGCCGGAGTGCGACCGAGGTGCTAAAGCAGATCAAGCAGCACTCCTCGCCCAGAGGGGACGCCACACAAGGTTTTTATTTTCGGAAATTAAAATTTATCGAGGGTCACAGATAAAGAGGATAAACATGATATATCGAAAATATCGAACCAAATTCAAATAAAATTTAATTTGAATTTAAGTAAATTTAAATGAATTTAAATAAAATTTGTACGAAAAGGATAAATATTTTCTTATCGGCACTTACAGATAAAAAGGATATATCGAAAATATCAGGAGATTTCGACGAAAAAGGAAACCACGACGCCACATAGAGGCTGGCTCATTGTTTCGCCATGGGACTGGAGGCACGGCTTGCAGGCACGGGGAGCCAGGCGTACCAGTCGCTCATGGCACAGCACACCTCGGTCGTGGAATTTCTCAAGGCATACAGGCTGTACACGGCAGCCTGCTTCATGAAGGTGAGATTCATCTTCTCCCACATGACAGTTCGCGATGCCATGGCAGGGAGGAGCAAGTTGCACATTGTGGAGTATGGTGTGCAGCATGGATTCCAGTATCCAGGTCTGTTGCATCTACTGGCAAGGAGGGAAGGTGGACCACCCGAGGTGAGGGTCACCGCAATTGCCGTCCCACAACCAGGGTTTTGCCCAGCCCACCAGATTGAAGAAACAGGCCGCCGTCTCAGCAACATTCAAGTTCCGCGGTATTGCAGCAAAGTGGGAGGCCGTACGTGCTAAGGACCTCAATATTGATCCGGATGAGGTGCTTGTTGTCAACAGTGAGGGCTATATCGGCAACTTGATGGACGAGATTGTTCTGGTGGACAGCCCGAACCCTAGGGATACGGTCCTCAACAACATCCGGGAGATGCGGCCCAATGTGCTCATCTTTTTTTAAAAGGCGGCAAGAGATGTCTTGGATTTTTATTAGACGAGCAAAAAGGAAAAAAAAAAGAATTACAACAAACAACGGAAGACCAAGCTCACCGCCACCACGGCACGCCGGTCGACAACCCAACTAGATACCTACCTGGACGATCACTTAAAGTCTAGAAAAACACCCTGAAGCCGAAAAAACACAAAACTAGACCAACCGAACAGTGACCAACAAATGCTAGAACTACTCCTGTTGTGGTCCATCATGAAATCTTGTTGCCAACCGGTATTGCTCTATATCTTCCTTGCAAAGTAGTGCCACCTGACTAGGCTGCAGCGACTTGTTCTGCAATGTTCTTCGATTCCTTTCCTTCCATAAATTCCATCAAAAATAGATCATAATGCCATCAAACGTCTTTATCTGATTTTTGTCTGTCTTAATTCTGCACTTTCGCCAGTAGTTGTGCAGGGATCCTGTCATTCCGATAGTATCAATCACCGATAGGCTAAACCATCGCTTGATGAAGGACCAAACTTGCCTTGAGAAAGTGCAGTCCTTGCAAAGATGTATCGGTGTTTCCGGATCAATACCACAAAGCTTGCATGCTGGATCATTTGGCCAATTTCTTTTAATCAAATTGTTTGTCGTTAGGATTTTTTTATGCAGCAAAGTCCAAGCAAAAAATCTACATTTGGGTTCCGCCTTTGCTTTCCAAATCGGTTGAAGTTTCAGGAAGGAAGGAAAGTTTTGCACGCAACAGAACTGAACAGGGGCATGCAATGCAAATTGAGTGCTTCTTGGGTGGGGGCCCATACGTACATTGTACTACAAGTATATCCCATCATGATGAATCTGTAGGATTTGCTGGTTCTTGCTTGTGCTAGTAAATCCAAAGGTTTGCAGTTGCCAAAACTCCCTTTGGAAATTAATCCGTACTTAACAGGGCCGGGCATTGTAGTTGTAGCCGGCCGGCACCGAGGAAAAGTTTTCATTATTTATTGACAGATATGTCATCTCTGGCATTGCTAGAATGACTAATTATGTTTAGCATTAGCTAACAAATAGCCTATGAAGAAGCTGATACGAGTATGATATGATGGTGCAAGCAAAGCAACCAAATGGCTCTGTTCGGCTGGTATTAAATTGGCTTCTGCTAGTTTGTATGGCTGATTTTTGAGAGAGAGAAATACTATTTCACATCTAATTTGTACGGATTAAAGCCGGCTGAATAGCACAGGTGAACAGGGAAAAAAAAAGAACGAACGAAAGAATGCGCGTGGCGGACTGTACGTACGTGGCGGAGGAGGGTCCGAGGAGCGGGTTCTCGCGGAGCGGCTGGAAGGCCAAGCGGCCGAGGAATCCGGCGGTGCAGTTGGAGTTGTGCCTGGGGCAGTCGTTGACGTACATGGTGACGAGGAAGATGGCGACGCAGGCCACGGTGGCGCCGGAGACGAGCCACGGCGACCAGCGCCGGTAGTAGGGCCGTGCCCTGATCACCTGCTGCTGGTGGTCATCGGAGTGGGAGAAGGAGTAGGGCCGCTCCACCAGCACCTGCACGTCCTCCTCGTCGCCAGCGCCCGCGGGCTTCATGGCCGGGTGATGGATGCGTCGGTGCGGCGATCCTGGCAGGCAGGCCGGCCGGCGATGGTGGATGGATGTGTTTGTTGTGAGTTGTGCGGATATGATTGATGGATGGATGTGTGTTGTCGTTGGCGTGTGGGATTGATGGTTCATTGTTGGAGAAGACAAGAACAAGATGATGGATGGATGGGATGGGAATTGGCCGGCCGGCCGGCGTTGCAAAAGGGAAAAGGGGGCCGGGATGGAGAGCGTGAGGAGGAAGGACACGAATCACTCCGATCGATTTGTACTAGTAGCAAGGAAGAAAGGAAGGAAGTCGTGTAGCAGAGGCAGAGCAGAGGAAGCAGGGCAGCTGGGCAGCTGAGGTAGACACACTCCAACTGCCCTGAGACTTTTTGCAAGGAGAAGGATTGGGTGTGGACGGTGGTGGTGTAGGTGGCCTGCCAGCTGCCAACTCCAGCTTCCGACGATATTATGTGCATGACATCCGCAGTTCTATTATTATTTGGCCAACTTGTAATCATGCAAGGGGACTGGCCCAGGCACCTTCTGCACAACGGGCTTGGCTGCCACGAGCATATGACATGATCCAATGAGTATGAATTTGTACTACAGTTCAAGCATACAATAATTAGCCCATCATAAAAATTTTACCATAGAAACTCAGAAAAAACATAGATCTAAATCTACAGCAAAAATTTTACACTAAATCATACCATATTATATATTCACTGTGTAGATCTACTCATGTGGAGTCCAACAAAATTGGATTTTAAATTTTATGATTTTTTCATGATTTACTATGATTTTTCAAAGATTAAGCCGAAATAAATAAAAAAGAAAAAGACAAAACCGTCTGGGAGGTAAAATGAACGGTTTTAAAAGTTCAGGGAGGTGGTTTATCTGGTTTTAGAGTTCAGAGAGGAAAAACAGACTTTCGCAAAAGTTGAGAAAGGTAATGTGGACTTTTTCTTCTGCCTACGCTACAAGCCATCATCTCCTAGGCCCAGTCCACGTATTCGCCTCAACCCAACTAACATCTCACCCTAAAAGAACCCGGTTAACATCTTTAACTACACATGTTTTCTTATTCACTTTATTTATTTGTTTATCAATTTCTTTTCTTTTAAGGATTTCACTAGTTTATTCGAATCTCTGTTTTGTCACTAAAGGATTCTTTGGGGTTTTGCCTACCAGATGTTGCTTCAATTGGACCTATATCTTATTGCTAGAAACAAGTACCTTTTACGGTCTTCAAAATCTTATATGGCAAGAGTGTTTGTAGTTGTTCATTTTCTTTGTCGCCTTTTAAAATAAAAAAGACGGCTAGTTTGATCTGTGATGTATCATCATTCTTTTATTGTAACTACTACTTCCTTGATAAATATCATATAAGATATCAGACACTATATAATCCTAGAATATTAATCTGTTTTAGATATCTTCACAAACGTGTGTGTCATTAGATATCAAAGTCAATCCAGGCTTATGGGTTGGAGCATTTGGATGTTCAGAAATGACGACCTCTTTTCCGAGGATTGTAATAGGATGATCTTTCAAAAAGAAATCGCTTTGGTTATCCCTCGACCAAGAGCCAATACTTATTGCATATTAGTCAATGGATAGAGACTCAATTGTAATTTACTTGGTCTTCTTTGCTTCCTGGTTTCGCTGTAACTCAACTCTTGTTTTCATATATATGTCCTCCGTCCCAGTATATAAGGCATAACCACCTTTGGTTCAAAGACCAAGGAACGTATCTACCCTACTAATTCACCATCTTTTCCATTGCTAAACCCACACCAAAAAACGACCCCCACTGACAAGTCACTACCGGAGACTGTGTAGTTACCGAGTGCCCCGACAATTACCGAGTGTCAGAAGTCGGGGCACTCGGAAAACAATATTTACCGAGTGTCAACACTCGGAAAACAAAAACACCCACACTCGGTAACTTAAGACAATCGGTAAAACTACAAGTTTACCGAAGGGGCGCACTCGGTAAAACTAGACACTCGGTATTGAGGTGCCACGTCACCTAGGATAGCAACCGTGCGCCGAACGGCGTCACGGCATGACATGTTTACCGAGTGTTATGAGCGTACACTCGGCAAAAATCACGGTAACAGCTCCGCCCGTAAAGTGCCCATAGCAAATAAAAAAGACCGAAAATGTTTACCGAGTGTCATTGCACAACACTCGGTAAACACTATCTTTTACCGAGTGTATTGGCGCAACACTCGGTAAAATTCAACCAAATTTCTTGTTTTTCCCTTCATTCTTTTTCCTCTATCCACATATGATATTTAGTACTCCATTCCAAAATATGGTGTTTATTTCGATTTATTTACTATATTTCACAAAATTTTCATTCTTTATGAAAATTAGGTACATATCGTGTAAATTTAATTGTAATAATTAAAATCGAACTCGATAAATCACGAGATTGGAAGAATTAACATTGAAGCATACATCTATGTTATAGAAAAATTTTCATAACGTTTTGGAAGTATTTTTACATTCGTCGCTGCCGAACCGGTACATCTCCCAAAGAGACGCTAAACATTCACAATGACGAGTAGGATTTCTATTAAGAGTGAAATTCAACAATATGATTTGAACTTGGAATTTTTTAGATAGTAAATAGATGACATGAAATAGTTCATGTGAAAGTTTGGTGAATTTTAGGATTAAATTGGCATTTTTTCTTTTTTGTTTTGCATGAAATAATGGATACTTTTACCGAGTGTGACCTGAAACACTCGGTAAAGGTTAGCCACGGCCCACCTGTCTGCCACAGTGGGTTGCCATGCTTCTATTTACCGAGTGCCGTAGATCTGGGCACTCGGTAAACATGAGTTTACCGAGTGCCGTACATCCAGGCACTCGGTAAACAGAAGCATTCAACACAGCCGTTTCTCCCTCAAATCGTGCACAGACGCACACACACACCGCACACGCCTCCCCACCGCCGCGGCCGCCTCCTCCCCTCCACCACCGCCGCCACCGGGCGGTCCCCCACAGCCGCCGCCACCGGAGAGACGGAGAGAGAGAGAGACGGAGAGAGAGACAGTGGCACCCGCGCGACCGGACGACGATCCCCTCCGCCCGCGCCGCCCGTGCTCCTCCTTCGCTCCCGTTCCCATGAGGTGGGGTGGGGTGGGCCCAGCAACAACGGGCGGCGGGCGAGCACTCTCTCCCTCCACCACCGCCGCCACCAGGCGGTCCCCACAGCCGCCGCCGCCACCGGGAGGGCGGTCACCCGCCGCCACCAAGGGATGCGCCGCCGCCGCCGCCTCCTCCCCTCAAGCTCCGGACCTGCTCATCTCGCTTGATCAAGCATTGCTCTCAAACGCTCGGTAATTTCCTTGCAATCGTACAATAGATCCTTGCTTTTGATAAAACTTGGCCCATTGCTTTGATTCCATCCAAGCACTGCAAATTAGAGAAGAGATAAATCAGAGAGAAAGAGAAAATATTCAGTGGTTGATGGATGCTGTTATCTTGTTCAGTGCTGTTGCCCAATTGAATAGTCGCTTCACAAAACAAACTTCATGTTCAGATCCTCTCAACTGTAGGATTTCTATTTCTTGAAGGTTAATCAATGAAAGTTTCTCGATTTTCCAGTTTGATTGTTGAGCACAAACACAACCCGGTGGGCATGAAGTTTTACCCTGACAAGCAACATATTAGCATCATAAGTTTAACATATAACACCGTATGGAATAAAAGGAGAGGAACCTTAAAATTACCAGAATCCCTAAATACTTAGGCCCCATTTGAACCATTTGGATTCTGAGAATCCACATAGAAAAATTCCCAAAATCCTAGTATCTCATCAAACAGTCTTGATTTTAGAGGGATTTTCACTCATAGATATTTAAAATACTCAAATCCAATAAAACTGTTGTGATTCTTTTTATCTGGATTCTCAGAATCCGATGGGATTCAAACAACACCTTAGAGATGTGTCATCAAGACATCAACATCTGTGAAAAAATTCTTCTACTGAACACTCATCTTTTCTTGACATACATGGAGTGTGATCATGTTGTCAATAAGTTAACCGAAAAGCCTTGCGACCAAATCTTGCTAGGCATTTTGCTCCCATTTCTGAATTGAGGATCTCCAGCATGGAGTAGAGTTGTTGGAGCATGTGCTACAGCTGTGCTGTGCAATGTGCATCTGCATCCGAGCCGAGACTGCTTTGCGCCTTTGACTCCAAAGTCCAATGTCCAATGTCCAAAGGGGGCCAACTGGCCATAGTAGTATTAGTATTTAGGAGTACTCCATTTATAGTATATATAGTAATATAAATCCGGCATGCATCAGCAAAAGGAATTGGAGCAGCAAAGAGCCTGCGTTTTTTTTTTTGACATCCATCACTATACACAGTAAGTACATGCATACGTACTCCTCCGACTGGCAGTAACCAAAAGGTTGACCACTGTTAGTCTGTTACAGTAACCATCCGTGTTTACCTTGTCCAACCGAAATCATGAGACAGATAGGCACTCACGGATTGAGAAATGAGATAGGCAAGCAGCAGCAGCTTCCGGGCGGTACTGTCGGAGATCCCCTCCCCTACCCGGATGTTGACGTGACGGGTCCAGGGTCCCGGGTCCGTCCGGTCAAATGCGTGTTGGTCCGTGAACATGGCTCCAAATGCAAGTGCAATTCAGATTTCAGGGACGTCCATAGTCAGCGAGGCTAAAGTTTACCTCAGGGCATAAGGTTATCAAATGAAAGTGAGGAAAGCTTTGACAGAAGACATACCAAAATCTTACCTTTTCCTAACTTTTATTGTGATATCATGATTGAGCCTGCCCTGCTAAAATTCAATGAACTTGCAATACAATATACCATATATTTCAAACAGACCGACTAACTAAAAACGACGCTTATTTCCAGCACAGGTACTAGAAAAGAAGTGCTTTGATAATGAGATACATATACCATATGTTTACCACGGTTAAACTTTGAAACTAACAGTATGAAACCAGCACCTA